GATACGGTCATTAGCAAAAATAATATAATATTTTTAAATTACGGTAAAATACATAAAACAATTGATAAGTATTCTTATTTTTATAATAAGTATAAGTTTTTTATTTACAGCAGTTAATCCTCGATCATTTTATATATTTTGTTTATGTTTTGAATTGATTAATTTTAAAAATATTCGTATAAATAATTGTATGTTTTAATATATATAATATAAGAAAAAAAACCAATCCAAATAAGGGATACTTATTCGTTTTCTCCAATGTCGATGAAAACAATGGCAATCCTTAAAATTTGATTTATTTCATTTAATTAACATACACTCGGTTTATTGTAAAAAATGAATACAAAGTATCATCACAAAACCATGATCAATAATTTTACTGTAAGTTGTTACATTATTTTAGTGATAAAGTAGACATATCACAATAAGATTAAACCAAAAAACAATAATAATATTTGTTTGGTGATATATTTATGGTTGGCTCTAACACCAAGATTATTGTTTATCAAAAAAAAATTATGGACCATAAAACATATTCTAGTTATACTATTCTGGATAAATATTTGGCAGCCATGCTATTATGGGCTTTCATTTTTTAAAGTTAATGTCTAACATGACATATATCTTTTAAAATATCTAAATAATTAATACAAATAAGATAAGAGTTTGTAAATAACACATTAATAATTAATCTAGTAAGTTGAGTCTACTTTCAAAAGTTTATCTGAGATTGACATCTCAGCATGGCAATTATGTAAATAATACATATGACAAAAAAATTTTTAAGCGTCTTTATCAATTAATAATATAAGATATTAGATCGAATACGACTATGTAGTCAAACTAATAGAGTTGATATTATGTAACATCGTCAAAATTCTATATCATAACTGTTGGTGATAAATTCAATCATTCATGGACAAATCATGTGTTTGCACATGGTGTCCATAGCTTTTTCGTAGGTACGAGAAAATCCCAATAGTTCGTTCCTAATATCAAAGGATCTGGACCAGATAAAAATATCTTCTTAAGCAGGAAATACTATTCAAATTTCTTTCCACTCAACAATTAGAATATGAGTTTGACTAAGTCGATTGCTCATATCCTTGTAAACCCACAAGATCAGCATTTAATGCTTAATGCTTACACGTGTGAGGTGATAGTGACCACTCACGGGATACAGAGGAAGACAAAGGCTTAGCGAAGGCTATACCGCGTCTAACCCCCAAACTCGAACCATACTCTAAGAGTGAAATGGATGCACCAAGGGCTGGGTTTCGCAGCTCGCGGAAGATGTCAAAGAAAGTTGGTGAAACCGTCAGAAGCATGACGCAATCAACAAGATTCGGATCCAACCACGCTTAATCTCATATCGACACGACAATCCAAAGTCCGACCCCGTATACTAATCTGGATTAGGTAAAATTTTATAATTTTTAACCCTTTCCAATGAGAAAGTGATTTAATCATTTTGCTACCTTTGAGCTTATGCTATCTCTCTAGATACTCGTAACTCAAAAGGTTTAGCATTTTCATTTTCCGGTCATCATCCTGACCACTTCTCACTTTCACTCTATGGTAATTCCTAAATCGCAGAGCACTTCCATCCTCAGAATGTTAGACTTCTTCTCTTTTCCACCTTAAAGAACCCACTAAACTTCAGGTCAAACAAACTCATTTCTTCTTAAGAGCTCTTGGCCCATTTTCTTTTCTGTTTTCTAATCCTTTTTTTTTCTTTTTCGATTTACCATTTAATAGTTTTTTTTTAACCGTTTTATGACCTGAACATTATAAAACTATAAAAAAAAAACAACAAAAAATATATAGAGTCTCTACCTCATTCACATCTCATTATGAATGTTCGTAACTTAATTAATTCTATTCGAATTATGGGAAACCGCAAATCTGCAAATATGATGACAAAATATGCCTTTGGTTTTCCACTCGTCCATCTTGATTTTCAGATTAAATTCAGTTTTTAATTTTTTTTCTAAATATTAAAAATAAAAAATGTACAGAATATAACTTTTCATTGAATTCAAAAATAAAAGTTTTCAGTTTTTTTTTTAATTCCCTTTTTTTTTACAAAGACAAGTTTTTTATTGCGTGAGAAATTTTTTTTATTTTCTTTGTTTTCCGTCAGAGATTTTGATTGTCATAAAAATTAATTTTAATACAAAATAAAATGATGTGTTAGATTCTTATTGGATAGATTATGTCATCCTTCCCCTCTGAAATTACTTTCCCTCTATAAGATAATTTCCCTTTTAAGTTATAAAGAAGAAAGATTTCGTATACACCCAACTAAACCGAACCAAAATAAAATGAACGTTAGGTGAAACATAACTCAAAAGTTGGAGCTAAACCGAACCAAACGAGAACGGTTCTGTCCGAACCGGATTCGATACGACGCTCCGTTACGAGTATCATATTTATTCAAAGGCACCATAGCTTCTTCTCCTCACTCAAGTTTCCTCTATCAGATACACTCATATACTCGAATCTTCTTATTCTACTTCCAGGTTTGTAATCTTTGTTGCATTTTGTTGTTTCGTGATAATCGAATTGCAAATGCGATTTACCCAACATTGATCTCTCTTAAACCCTATTCGTTTCAATCCGAATTCTTCAGATCTGATCTTCGTCTTTTGTGTAATTACCACAGATCCGAGGATTCTCTGATTTTCACAGGTAATTTGATTTCTGTTATTTCCTTTTCGTATCACTGATCTTCATTGTAATTTGATCGTTTTCTTCACTGTTTGTTCTTTCGTCGCATTTGTCGATGATGATCATGATTACGATTTTGTAGATTTGGAAAACGTACGGGAGAATTTTGTTTGAGGAGGTTTTTAGGATTTGATCTCTCTTTGGTGTAATTCAACAATGGCTGCTCCAGTGCCTCCAGGAGCACAAAGACCCAACAATCCGCAAAACTCAGCTCCTCCTCCAAATTTCGTCCCTGGTTCACAAGGGAACCCCAATTCGTTAGCTGCTAATATGCAAAACTTGAACATTCACCGGCCACCTCCTCCCATGCCCGGTTCAGGTCCTAGACCATCTCCACCTTTTGGTCAGTCACCACCACAACCTTTTCCTCAGTCAGCTCCTTCTTACGGTGTTCAGCAACAACAACAACAACCTAGACCTTCTCCAATGGCTAGGCCTGGACCTCCTCCTCCTGCAATGACTAGACCAGGTGGGCCTCCTCAAGTATCGCAACCTGGCGGGTTTCCATTAGGAAGACCCGGTGGTCCACCACCTCCTGGTCAGTCACTGTTTGGCTCTAGACCACCGGGTGGGCCAATGCCTGGTGGTGGGTCGTTTCCGCAGCCTGGTGGTGGTTCATTTCCGCAGCCTGGTGGTTTCGCACCTTCAGGACCACCAGGCGGTGTAGCTGCAGCTCCTCCTTCAGGAGCACGTCCTATTGGTTTTGGTTCACCTCCAACTATGGGACCTGGCATGTCCATGCCTCCTCCTGGTATGCCTGGCGGTCCGGTGACTAATGGGCCTCCGATGATGGGTCCAGGTCCCAGAGGACCCCAGTTCACAGGTGGTGCTATGATGGGTCCGCCACCTCCCTATGGACTGCCACCCAATGGACCTCCTCTCTCGGGAGGTTCACCATTAACTTCGCCTCCGGCTCATTCAATGCCTCCGCCAACTACTTTTCCTGGTGCCCCTTATGGTAGACCCGGAGGCTTTCCTTATGGACAGCCACCACCACAGCAGGTACATCCACTGAAGCTCATGATGTATGTTCTTGTCTATTAATAATCGTACACTCGACTTGTGATCTGATGAAACATGCAATGCCTTTATTAGGTAGTAAGTAAAACCCATTCTTGATGTGAATGTAGCGTTTTACAGTAGAGGGAAATATTAATTAATGGATCTTTCTGACACTGAAATTTAAAGGCGTAGTGTTGGCATTGACATGACTGACTTTACTTACGTAGTAATAGAATAAGGAACACTTCGTGTAGTATCATTATATTTTTGCTTTTCTTCTGTTTATTAGGCTAGCCTTTCACAATTAATGTAATTCCTTTGTGTGACACATTGTGATTGCTTTGAAATGTGAAAAATGTAGCACCCTCCTCCTCCTGGTACTCCTGGTTCAGTATATGGCATGGGTCCAGTGCCAAATCAGTCCATGACCGCTGTTTCTAGCCCCTCGAAGATTGATCTTAATCAGATCCCAAGGCCAGGTTCAAGCTCCAGCCCAATCGTGTTTGAAACTCGCCAGGAGAATCAGGCTAATCCTCCACCTGTATGTTTTATAATATTCATTTTGTAAATTACTGTTTGATCTTAAGTGATTGAAAAAAAAATGCTATTTATTTCCCCGGAATATCACTTTTTTTGTTTTCTTTTTGGAAGCCTACTACTGTTGATTATATTGCTAGAGACACTGGAAATTGCAACCCGCGTTACATGCGATGCACAATCCATCAGGTAACTTTGAAGCGAAATATCTTGAGCTAAATGTAACTTTTGTGCGTTTAAGTAGTGATCTGACTGTGTCTCTTGACCCTGGATCTTGATATCTTGCGTCCCTGTTTCCACTATAGATCCCATGTACTGCTGATCTTCTTTCTACATCCGGTATGCAACTGGCGTTAATAGTCCAACCGATGGCGCTTTCGCATCCATCAGAAGAGCCTATCCAAGTAACATTAAACTCTTCCCATACTGCTTTTTCTGATCAATTAAAGCATTTGGGCGTTCATTGTTTGCACTGTTTATATTTTATTGTTTTCTCATGCCTATTGATCAGTCCTTTTTCCAGTTGAGTAAAGAACTTTATGTTTCAGTGCTTCTTTTAGAATTTTACGAAAAAATCAACTCACGTTGGCATGAACCTATGTTATTGAGCAGGTTGTGGACTTTGGTGAGAGTGGCCCTGTTAGATGTTCACGTTGTAAGGGATACATAAATCCTTTCATGAAGTTCGTTGATCACGGAAAGAAGTTCATTTGTAACTTGTGTGGTAAATATTAAAACATTCGTAAATAAAGCCATAGATAATATTACTGCAATATCAACTGCAATAATGAGTTCCAAGTTATGAGAGAACTAAAAATATTCTACCCTAGAATAAAATCTGCCTTACCTTACTCAGTTGAAAGAAATAATATGTGACTTTGGATTTCACCTCGAAAATCTGGTCAGGGAAGATGCTACTAGGGTCTTAAGAGAAGTGACTTCTTATGAAATGTTATCACTTTAATCATTTAGGACTTTATGGAATGTTTTTGTGATCCATTTTCCTATTTGTGCACAGGATTCACTGATGAAACTCCCCGTGACTACACGTGTAATCTGGGTCCAGATGGTAGACGCAGGGATGCTGATGAAAGGCCTGAGCTGTGTAGGGGAACTGTCGACTTTGTTGCTACAAAAGAATATATGGTTAGTTTGTGAACTTTTCTGATTATTGTATGCCAACACTTTGTGATACCTCCATAAGATGTCAGAGAACACACGAAAGTTTATTATTAAGTGCTTAGATGCATTCGTTTTAAGAAACTGGGGACCGAGTTTTAATAAGACAGGAATTGTGTTCTCTCTATTATATAATACCTCTTACTAATGTTGGTACACAAATTAAAAATAACCCTTCAAAACTAAGTTTTGCTTTCTAGCTAAGAGAGTGAGTTTTTGTGCTGGAATCTGAGATAATTATGATTAGAATTGCTTGGTGATGCAAAGCAATCTACTTGGTCTATTGCAACCAGATGGAGATAACTATCAATCTATTTTACAGATACGGGATCCAATGCCAGCAGTGTATTTCTTCCTCATTGATGTCTCAATGAATGCGATTCAAACGGGTGCAACTGCAGCTGCTTGCAGTGCCATCCAGCAAGTCCTCGCAGACCTTCCTGTAAGTTTTCTTGCTTGCATTTAGGTTATTTTCGCTTTTTATTTTTCTTTTTCTTAAACGCTGATATAATCTGCCTTGGTTAGAAAATCTATTTGTTTCTCTTGGCTGTACGCTTGACTACTGTTGGGTGGTAGCAATGAAATTAAGTGACCTCAATGATAATTTCTATTTGATCACACCCTCTAGTTTACCAAGCCCTTCCTTTCCTGAATGTGTTAGGTTTGAAACCGTAAACCATTTTATTTCTCTATGAACCAAAGTATTGGCAGAGAATCATAGAGAAATTCACATCCAAGAATAAAAATATAATCTTAGGGACGAATTGTAGAACATCCCTTCTCTTCCATACCCAAACTAAGTCCCAAAAAACCCAATACCCTGGAACTCCAGATGCATCTTCTATTTACTCAATGACTAACTGGCTGTTATGGGATAGTTTTTCTTCTTTTGATTTGGTTAATGATGTGGCATACTTGATGTAACTCTCACGAGAAGCATATCCTATTTGTAGGCACTGACTAAATTGCTGATGAGGCATACTTGATGAACTCTTGTACCACGTGATAAATGATTTGGGAAATTAGGCTAGGCTATGGTCACTAGAGTAATAGACATGTTTTGTTTAATCGCTGTATGTTTTTAACAAAGTCTTGTACGCATTTTGCAGGAAGGTCCTAGGACATTTGTTGGAATTGCCACATTTGACTCAACAATACACTTTTATAATTTGAAACGGGCACTGCAACAGGTGATTTGTTACGTTAATTATATGTGTTCTTTTTTTTTTTTGCTAAACTATTTAAAACGAAGTATGCACAGGAAAAAGAACTTTTTGCCTTTGGTATCATAGATTTGATGGTGTTATCTTGCTCCAAAGAGTTCTTCTATGTCACTTGGCTGAATAACTTTAGTCTGTTTTGTATTCTTCACTTGAAAGTCACTCTCCAGTGCAATTGGCATGAGGGACAACCTACATTATTTTTAACGCGAAACAAATTCATTCAGCTTTAAAAAATGAGTCCTCTGTTGGTATAATTTTCCAGAATGTGTTCTCTCTTTTTCTTGTTAGGAATTTTTGTTTTTCTTTTCGCTGGTTCCGTTGTGACTGTGATTGCCTACTTATGTGCAGCCGTTGATGCTCATTGTTCCTGATGTTCAAGATGTTTATACACCTTTAGAAACAGATGTCATTGTTCAGCTATCTGAAGTAAGCTCTTGGCCACTTGTTTTCGTTCTATAGTGAGATTGGTTATCCTAATCTTTTTCTTAATCTCTCTGTTAATTACTCTATTCTGTTGGAATTCAGTGCCGTCAACACCTGGAGATTTTGCTGGAAAGTATCCCAACAATGTTTCAGGAAAGTAAGAGTCCTGAATCCGCTTTTGGTGCAGCAGTTAAGGTAGGTGATTGCCAAATGTAAATGCTTAAAGTAGAAATTCCCCATTGACCAATTAGGAAGTGTTAACAAAATCTGGGTTAATAATAATGTTGGAAAAACAATAAAGGAAATTAAGTTGGTCTTGGGGGTGAATTGGCCAATGGGGCTGGTGATGTAGCAAAGTGCGACATAGGTGATGTAACTACAACTTTTTCCTCCTAGGCCGCATTCTTAGCGATGAAGAGCACTGGAGGAAAGCTCATGGTGTTTCAATCAGGTGTGCTGCTTATTTTATTAAGTCCCTTAGACTAATGCCTTTGTTTACAGACACTTGTAATCAATCTATACATCTTGAACCACCTGAAGTATGTTTCGTTAATACCAGTTTATTCTTCTTCTTTTAGTATCTGTATGTGTATAACATAAATGATATGATTACCATCTCCTTCATAGTTTTGCCATCTGTTGGCATTGGAGCACTCTCTTCTAGAGAGGCCGATGGGAGAGCTAATGCCTCTGCAGATGAAAAGGTACACATGCAGTTTTTTCTTTTCTTTTAGTGTGTTCTGACCCCTGCGTTAGAGATTTAGAAGTAAATGGGTTTCTTTTTAATGCTTTTTTTTGTATAGAAACTTCAAAGGCATCTGGTCCTGTGTTTGCTCTGTGTCATTATTGAACGTAGTTCCTCTTTAATATGATTTCAGGAGGCCCATAAATTACTACAACCAGCAGACAAAACTTTAAGGACCATGGCTATTGAATTTGCTGAATACCAGGTATACCAATATATCTGCTGTGGAAAATTAACCAATAATGTTTCTATCTGCATATCAATTATTTACTGCCATAGCACTTTATCTTAGTTGTTGCTACATATTTCCCTATCTAATGCATCCAGACATGCGTCAGGTCTGTGTAGATTTATTTATTACAACTCAAGCCTATGTTGACATGGCTTCAATTTCCGACATCCCAAGAACTACTGGAGGACAGGTATATTCAAATATAATTTATCCTTTCAGGTTATCACATATTCTTTTAGTTGTAAATGACTTGTATTTATTTGCATTATTAATTATATAACTTACATAGTTCAATAAAAAAAAAATTGTTGTTTTTCTCATGAAAGCATGGGGCACGTCACCCTCTCTTACAATTATTGTGATAGTTTTTCTTACTTGATACGTCTTCCCTGGTGATCCTATTTTGAGCTCATTGTTTTGCTTTTCTTTGATTTTAACTTTTCATTATATTTGTTACCAGGTTTATTGCTACTATCCATTCTCAGCTCTTTCAGATCCTCCCAAGCTATACAACGATCTGAGATGGAATATCACTAGGCCCCAGGGTTTTGAGGCTGTCATGCGAGTCAGATGCAGTCAGGTAATGTTTTGTGGAGAGAGCTATGACCATGTATTACTCTGGAAAACTCAGCTTGACGTTTATATTGATGAACGCCACTCTTGCTGATTATTATAGGGTATTCAAGTGCAAGAATACTCAGGGAACTTCTGTAAACGCATACCAACTGACATCGATTTACCTGCGGTGGGTGCATCCTCCTTACTATTTACGATTAATTGTCTTCAATAGCATTGCATGTATCTGTTATTATCGTGTCACTAACCAAGAAAGAATATTTCTCTGTGCCGTGATTTTGGGACTACAGAATATATCTGTTGCTATATTGTCTAAAAAGTATAATAATAGTCAAGAGGGAAATACTTTGGTATGAATTGTTTCTTGACGAACCGAGTGCCATGCAGATTGACTGTGACAAAGCTGTATTGGTGACATTAAAGCATGATGACAAGCTACAAGATGGAGCTGAATGTGCCTTCCAGGTTTACTTTGCACTCTTGTTAATTTTCCATTCAAAATAGTTTTCAAATGACCTTACTTGCGGAAATGTTGGTACACCGTCTCATTTCAGAAAATGTTTACGTTTTTTTTATGACCTTCCGTGGTTTTCAGTGTGCCCTTTTGTATACAACGATATCTGGAGAAAGAAGAATTAGGGTTATTAATTTATCGCTCCCATGTACAAGCTTGCTCAGTAACTTGTTCCGCTCAGCTGACCTAGATTCTCAGTTTGCTTGTATGCTGAAACAAGGTAGACGTCCTTCTTTTGGTTTTGATTCTGTAGCTAATAATGTTGTCATTATGTACATACATTTATGAATGGGTTCCTATAACGATAGCGCAAAACTAGCACTCTGTGTTGATATAAATTACTTGTCTAACCTTGTGTAGTGGCGAATGAGATCCCTTCCAAGGCACTTCCATTGGTAAAGGATCAAGCTATTAATAGCTGCATCAGCACACTCCATTCCTATCGGAAAAACTGTGCTACAGTTACATCAACTGGACAACTTATTCTTCCTGAAGCACTCAAGCTTCTGCCGCTATATACTCTCGGTATTTCCTTGTCACCTGTAGTCCATTTCCAAAAAAAAAAAAATTATACCACTTTTAGGTTTGGTTGCTCCTTGTGTGCATCCTATGCCTTGTCTTGAATCAGCAGTGAATACATTATTGTGATCTCATTACTGGTTCTATTGTTGCTTTGTGTTTGTGATCTCATTACTGGTTCTATTGTTGCTTTGTGTTTGTGATCTTATTGTGATCTCTTTTTCATTCGCTTATTGTGATCATTGTTTTTCTTTTCAGCCTTAAGCAAAGGTGTCGGATTACGGCCCGATGGGAGAATTGATGACCGATCATTTTGGATAAACCATGTGTCTTCGTTGTCTACTCCTTTAGCCATTCCACTAGTATATCCAAGGATGATTTCTGTTCATAACCTTGAAGCAAAGGTATGGTAGCTAATATTTCCTAGCACAGGTGTCGTTTCCCCTTAATATACTCTTTCTCGATAAGTATTGACGATTTGTTCTTTAATCTATCAGGATAATGAAGAAACTGTGGTTCCTTCTCCAATCCCATTGTCAAGTGCACACCTTAGCGATGAAGGAGTCTATTTTCTTGAGAACGGTGATGATGGTTTGATATATATTGGGGACTCTGTAAATTCAGATATCCTGCAGAAACTCTTTGATGTTTCCTCAGCTGCTGACATTCCAAGTCAGGTAAACTAATCATTATCTTAGAAAATTATACACTCTGTAGGATCTGACTCTTCTCATACTATTGACGAAACCTGCTTAACTCTGATACGCTATGTTTTTTTCTTCACAGTATGTGCTGCAGAGGTACGATAATCAGCTATCGAAAAAGTTCAATGACGTTGTGAATGAAATAAGGAGGCAAAGAAGTTCTTACCTACGGTATCAAACAAAAGTCTCATTGTCTATCTTCTTTATTTATTCTCCTCCGTTCTAACCTTACAAGACTCTTTATGTTCTCTCTTTGCAGCCTGAAATTGTGCAAGAAGGGAGATCCAACAGGTGAGTTAGCTTTCTTCAAAGTTACTCTTAGCATCAGCTAATTTGATGACCAGGAGTTTAATCAGTATTATTGCACTATGTTGTTTTATCTCAGGAATGTTGTTCCTATCGTATATGGTAGAGGACAAGACATCGGGTGGGCCCTCGTACGTGGAGTTTCTGGTTGAAGTTCACCGTCAAATCCAGCACAAACTGAACTGAGACTCATATGTTTCATGTCTTCAAAAATTTTAGATTAGAAGAGCTTAAAAGCAGCAGAGAAAAGACAAAGAAAAAGAAAAGGGAAAGACAAATCTTCTTCCTTTGTACATACTTTTGGCTGGAAACTTTATAATTATTTCTTCAAGTTCTTGTGTGCTTGAAAAGAAGTTATATATTCAATGGAAGAAGATAGAGAGAGAGGGAAAAAAGAGAGTTTGATAAAATAATTCCATTTTTTTGTCTTCCTTATCTATACAAGAATAGTCTTTTTGTAGCAGCACTTAAAGAAAGGTTTTTACAATATTTACTTCAGCTTTTGGAATAATAAGTCCTTTTTTTGTCGACCGAAACAAGTGAGACATGTGCATGTGTTAACAACTTCCCATCTGATGCGGATCAATTAATAGTCATAAATTTTACTTGAATCTTCTTCGATTGTAAAAACTGTCCTAGCTCTACCATATCCTTAACTATTTATTTCATTTTTATGGAACAACACATTTTTTAGATTATGTATATACTACCAGGAATGAAATGCATCATCTTTGCATTCAATGTAAATTCTAGAATAATCTCATTTTCAATTATTCAATCATTTCATCCTACATGATCTCATTTTAACTATTTAAGCTTTTCATATTACCAAGTTGAATGTTATTCAGATTAGTCAACATTTATATATTGGTAACAAGTAGTTATTGTTTCCTATATACAGATTACGATGTTGAGAAGCTTGCATTAGTTTTTTTTCGTAGAATTTTTTTTGGAGGTAAAGAAAAATACTAATTTTAAACCAAAGAAAATACTACAACGTTAAAATCTTATTTTTCTTTGCAGCCCACGCAAAATAATCATAAGAACGAGAGGCATACAAGCAAACAAAAAGTCTAAGGGGGCTAGCCAAAACTCTTTTTCTCTTGCTTCTTCTCTTGTGAATTCGTCATTGATTCAAACTCTTAACAACGACTTAGCTAAACAAAATCTGAAAGTGAATCGCCCAAAAAGAAAGGGATGATGAGAAGAATATAAAGTTACTTTTCCGGGGAAGCAAAGAATCAAGCCATTTTCACTTTCCGGGAAGGAGGCCGGCGGAATAAGCTTATCAAATCATCCAGACCCTATCATCATTTCAAAAACGACTCTCCATTACATTCGCTTCCATAGTTTAACACAACCTGTATAATATGTTATTAGAAAGAATCGGTTTTTTATATTTACCCGAGTTGTGATGACGAGGAAACTGAAAAGCACTATCAAGTATGATCCTAACACCAGAAGCAAGAGCAAGTCGAATGTTACACTTGCCACCTACAATCACCAAACATCAAATAGACGCACCGATCAATGCGTTGTTCGGGTTTCTTACCGATCAAGAGACTTTCTCAATCGCATGAACAAAGCTAGTGTTGGAAAATTATTAAAGAGCCTATGATCAAAGTACCTGGTATATGTTAAGGCTAGCCTTTGTTGAGTCGTAAAAGGTGAAACTTCCGTCTAAAGATTCATGTTGAACACTCACTTCAGCAGTATAATCCTCTAGTTCCTGTCAACAAGACGTAGTTAACACCAGAAATCATCAGGCATGTGGTTGAGAGAAACCGGAGAAAACGTCTTGAGAGATAGATAATATACCTTCTTCAGAGCCATGATTAATGGTTCGTTCTTTGAGAGAAACGGTGCCACTCGAGGGGTTTGTGACAAAAGATCCAACCATGATCTCACGTAAAAGGGATTTACAGCCAAACTACTGTCATCTGCAAAAATCTTAATGTCTTTTCCTTGGTGACCGTAGATATGCCTCTGCGGGAAACAAGAAAACATTTAAGTTGAGAAAAAATTACAAGAATATACAAATTTTCACGTTTTGTGAACTTGAAGAACCAATTTCTAGTACTTGCGTTGAGTGCTTTGTCTTACCGCAAGGCTTTCAGCCACCAACTTAATACCCTTAATGATAGCATCCTCGTTCACAAGTTGCCTGCAGAAAAAGTACAGATGTCTTTAGTCTGAAGGATATGGCGATTTTTGTTGGATGAAACAGGAAATTATACTTTGAAATAGTTTGGCAGAGTGCACAAAATAGATAATTAGTTTAGTAAAGGATACCTTGTGTCAGACAGACTTCCAGCATTTTCCAGTAACTCTGGTGGAGTCAAAAGTTCGGATACAGTGGCTGCGGTTACTCTGAGTCTTGAAAACTGCTCATGCTCCCACGCAACCTAAAAAAATTAGCACCACATATTCAATCAGAGAGGGTCTATCGTAATGAACTGCAAAACAATTGTCGGAGAGAGAATACAGCATAGTCACATATCTCAAGTAACCCCTACATGAGAAGATCAATAAAGGAAGTGGGTAACGACAGAGCCTACTCACTGCATAAGAAAAGTTTAATGCTGCACATATCTTTCAAACCATGACAGGAACATTCCGACTATCCAAATTTTGGCACAGTTCTAACAGTCAATTAAACACCTAAGATTTCCAGAATCAAGCTGAAAAAAAGGCATGTGAAACTAAGAAACACTCTTGACATACCACTTTGTTACAAAAACGATTCTAGTTTGCATTATTCAAAAAGTGAAATATTGACTCACTCGTGAATTAGAGATATTAATCTTCTTATGCTTCAGAGCAACTTGAAAACCCAAGTCTTCTGCGACATTTGAGAAGCCCTGCAGACATGCACCCATTAATCAATGAACCATGATAGCTAGTCACTGCAACGACGCATGCACTATCTTTTTACCTCAAAAATTTGCTTGATATAGGCGTTCTCCGGAGGCTTTGACACGTGAACCAATAATTCATTATCCCAAGAGCCAACACTGTTCAAGCAAATGGCATAATCAATGCTCTCACGCATCCTCTGATCAAGGCTCTTCAGCCACTGCAGAAGATACGATGCTTAATGAAGAATACCAACAAGTTTGCAAATTGCAACAAACAAAAAATGCATAATGGATATAGTTTTCGTAGAATCAGGAACAAATGTCTAGTACCTTTTGAGTTCCTTCGTAGTTGTAGGGTCCACCAGATGTCAGTGCAAAAAGTAAATTGTATCTTCCTCTTGTCTTGGGGTTTGAGTAAAGAATAGAAAATAGTCTAGCTACTTCAAGAAGTGCCACGACCCCACTTCCATTGCTGTCACTCCCGACTGATAATGCCTACAAATACAAGTTAATCAGGTACATACTACAACAATAGTAAATTATTCACTACTCATATTACATACAGGAGCTGCTCCGAAGGTATCATAGGATGCAACTACAGCAATTGTTGGAAGCTGGTTGGAATCTCCATCTGCTCTTGATCCTGGAAGCCATCCCTATACGCAAACCAAATCCACTCAGGCTTTCTGTATGTCAGGCTTCCAAAAAAATAAACACAAGAGACATAGAGAGAGAGGGCGCAGAAGCACATATCCAGATCCTAAGAGTAACTAACGAGGAGCGGGCAGATCGAAATTAAGATAAAGTAGTAACGTTCCACCTAGGGTCAATGACGCTAGACATGATCGAAGTACACCAAATCCTAGTTGCTCAGAAATCTAAGAGCTTAGACTGATCCTATAGAGATGATGGAAGCAAAAACAATACTGAGAATATTACTGCATGCAGGGAAATTCGACAGGAGGATGAACAAATGCATGCTACCACAAACCAGACCATCATCATTTAACAACTGAGGTGTCTATATCTGTCATGCTAATCACACTAATCTTAAAATACAGATCAAGACAGGACAGAGAGAGTTCTACTACTTATCATTGATATCAAAGCTAGTCATGACATTATCAGAATTAAATTAACTCTTAATGAGTTACCTGAATGTTTGTGATGGTGGGCGATGCAATTTTCTTAGGCTCTGAGACTGAGATAACAAGCTTATAACTGAAAATAGTTATAGAAAGAAATGGTTTACATACATACTTAAAATAAAAGTTCATCAATAAAGCACTCTTGGGAAATAAACAATATCGTAGACGGAATGAGCATATTCAAATGTTGATCCACAGTTCAATAAAGCTTCAAGCAACTACATACATAGACAAGATGCGCTAGTAGACTAAGTGCTAAATACGTGGCTTCCCCAATCTCGACGTCACAGATCATCACTATTATACTTAGCTTATAACTAAACTATTTGCCAGAAGACTATCACTATTACTTCTAATGATAATTCCTAAAGGAGTCATCGACAACTGATTGACTAACCCGCCTGTAGTTGCAGTAGCTTGCTGACCAAGTGCATCATTTTTCTTTACATCAGCCAACATAGCATCAGTCTCTTCATTCTCAAACGCGAAGTACACAGGAAACTGTAAGAATAAACGGTGGTTACCATAAGAGCTATGCCGACAAAAAAAAGAAAAGAGAGTGTTTTTTCAACTTCAAGTAATACATATGAAACAGAAAACTCACAACTATGTTTCCATGGACAAGTAACTTCTCAAGCTGTGCTAATAATTTCCTGAACCCTTCGGTTTCAGAGATTAGTTCACCACCTCCAATGTTTCCAGGTCTAAACATCTGGGGAAGCAAAATCAACAATCCCCCAAGCGACTGTTTTTGTGAGATGTAATCTGCGATCATCTTCACAGTGTAAGTAAAGTAACCGGAGAAGAACAAAGTAGCCACAAAATCCAAAATCCGAATCCAAATTAAAGTGCGAATCAGCTACCCAACTAAAACGAGAGAATCAAAATCCAAGGTACCTTGAACGAAACCGATATCGAGCTCCCGGAGAGGTAAGATTAGTACAGAGCGAGATAGATCGGCGCCGCGTTGGAAGCTGAGGGAAGCGGCGTGGTGGTTGAGAGAGGAGAAACGAGAGCCGAAAGGAACGCCGGAGATGTCGTATTGGATAAGACGGTAAACATCGACAACAGTAGCGGCGTCGCAGAGCTCGACGCAAGCGACGAGGATGAGCATTAGCGCTAAGACTGGATACATGGATTCGAAGACCATGGACCGATGTCTCTGCTTCGATTTCTTCTCGTCCGCCATTGTTGGGCTGGATCTAGGGTTTTGTGCAAAGTGGAAGAGATCTCGGATTTGATCTAAAGAGTGTGAATCTGTTTGATCTATAAGTTTTTTTAGTAGTCACCACTAGATTATCGTATTGACTTCATTTTTTTAAGTGTTTTGTTCAAGTAAAAAAAATGGTTTGCAAAACGATCATTGCACGTTCATTTTAGAAGTGAGACATTATTTTTTTTAGAGTCAATTAATTGAATATACATAAAGATAGTTGAATTTGCATATCTAACGTTAATGTGACATAACCAATAATTTACTATTTATATGGTTATTACAAATGACTAATATACTCTTCATTATATCTGTCATTTCTTGAGAATAGAATATCTCATTTATGCAAATTGCATCGAATATATAATATATATTATTCTCTCTCTTCTAATTTCTGTTCGAGTTGTGCAACAATTGATATTACTGAAAAATTATTTGTTATCGACTATTAAACATGTTAGCACTTTCTATGTTCAATTAAAAAAACTACATCAGATTCAAATAAGTTAGTGATTAACAATTATTGTATCATATATGAACAAGTAGGTTAACGTCTAACATTATTATTTTCACGATAAAGAATATGTTAGATTGATAACAATAATGAGTTGTATGGATTGTTAAAGGTGTTATTGATTTGTTTAGCGCGTTACATATAAGTTTACCTATAATTGTTTTGTTGTATTTGGTAAAATACATGTTAGACTGATAACAATACTGAGTTATAGAGATTGTTAGAAGGTGGTACATTTTGCTTAGAGCGATATAGATAAATATAACACATTATTTGAATATGTTAACGGTTTAACAATGAATTGAAAGACTAATTCAGTTTCAGAGAAACAAAAAACTTATTTCTTTAACCAGATTTTTAAAGAGAAATGTTTGTTTTCGGATGAAGGAAAGATGGGAGAAAGAGAGAAACAAGGGAGAGAAAGATATAAAAATAAAAAAATGAGATCTATGCATGTGTTAGTGTATCTAGGTATAGTTATGAGATGAACCATGCAATAGACTTTGCATTCTCGCATACAAGACAAGATGCATCAAAGATAACAATATAGTTGTATCTCTAACAATTTTACTACTCAGTCAAATAAACCATTAACATGTTAATATAAAAGTATTATAAGTGATTATAATTGTTACTTCTCTAACAATATTATTGATCAGTCAACTAAATCTGAACCGTGGTAATAAACCACCGCGTCTGCTTCAGTAACTCGAGCTTTACAGCTACGTTGTCTCTCAACCAACATCGACTGTCACCTGGAGGAGAGATTCATCGGAATCTGCCTTTCTTGTCTCTGTGGATGTTGTTTTTCCATGTCGTCTTCTTCTTCGTTGTAGAAATCTCTGACCAATTTCAATGCATCTCCCAAAGCTTTTTTCAAGTTTTTCAAGAAATTAATTTTAATCTGGAACTGTGTTAATAAATTGGGTTGAAGATTCAATGACTGTTTCTTTTAATAAATTAGATCTTTTTGAAAAACAATAAGAGATTGTATTTGATTGAGAAGAAAAAATTCTGAGAGAAACGAGCAAAAGAAACGAGAGAAGGATGAAGAGAGATAAGGGAGAGAGAAAGAGAACAATGATATAGAAGGAGAGAAAGGAAAGAGAAGGAGAAAAGGGTATAATGGGATTTAAAAAAAAACAGTAACCAAATTTTTTCTTTGTTAGTTTTGCAAATAAGAGGTTAATTTGCGTTAAAGGATGCAAATACTCTTGTTTTTATTACTCCATCTGCTTCAATATATGAGTTGTTTTAGGATTTATTTTTTGATTCAGAATTAGTCATTTTCTGTTTCCAATACAAATGTTTGTTATATTTTCTATTTTAATCTTTTTTTTTAGTTTATTAATTAATACTTGTATACGGGAATCTTAAATGACATAATAACTAAACTTAACGAAAATGAATAAAAATGAGAAAAACGGATATTCTAATTGCTTAAATGAAAATCTACTAAAAAGGAAAGACAATATTGAACTAAAGCTTGAAATAAAAACGGTGTGAATCTATAGGAAAGAAGGCGTTGGGGTTCAGGGAAGTTTTCTCAGGGGTACGAACGATTCAAAACATTGCTGGAGAGTAAATTTGATAAGATCTTAGCTTAAACTTTTCGAACTGGAGTCACAGACGTATGAATACGCCACTGTCGTGATCATAGAAAACTATCTCTCTCAACCCTGACCAGTAGGTTTCCACTCTGGCCCTGGAAGAGAAGAGATGCATTATGTTTAAGACCCGTCAGCATTCACAAATCGCCCATAGGTAGGTTTCCACTCCTATGTTTGTTTTGCTCTCCCAAACTAGATCTGACACCGGATGAACACTTTCGTGTCACCAAGCATATGGATCAGATTGTAGTTCATGACGCTACTCTCATGCAGTAAAAACGAATTCAGAAGAAAAAGTTCTAAGATTCGGCTCAAAAGCTCATGGAATCCTCATCGAACATATAAATCCCCATCGAAAATCCCTTAATCCCAACAATAAAACTACTCAGACATAATGAATGAAATCAAAAACATAGTATTAAGAAGTAGAATATAAACCAAAATTGAAAGAACAAAGAACAAGGGTCCAAGAGAACAAATCTCTCTCTCCCTAAAACCTAAAACAAAAACAATAAAAGTATGAAGTAAATAATTCGGTTCTCTCTTGATTTTTCATCGATTAGGGTTCCTAAAACATGTATTTATAGTGCTCTGGATGTCACTTAGGGTTTTTCCAAATGAGGAAATCATTGTGGGCTTCAGAAATGGGCTTTTGGGCTCGGAGTTGGCTTGCCGCGGTCGGGATGGCTGTGACCGCGGGGAATGGACGGTTTGCCGCGGTCGGGATGCTTCTGACCGCGGGAAATGGCCTGTTGGCCGCTGGTGGAAATGTTCGCCGGCTGGTTTACGGGACATCTTGCTCTTCGCGTATCTTTTGATTGAATCGTTGGATTGTCAAGCTGTAAAGTGCGCTGGAAAGCTGATACTTCCATCTTTAAGATCTCCAAATTTGAGCTGGATCAGACGGTGAGAAGGCCTTCAATCAGGGGTGAATTTCTGACGGTTTGACTCTGAGCTGAAATCTGGTTTTCTATCCATTTTGTTAAGCTTTTCCCTAAGTTACCTGAAAAGAGTCTTGGAACTACAAATACTAGAAAAACATAATAAAAGTACTTAAAAGCAATTAAAAACATAGAAAAGGTATTTCAAAACGATCCATAAAAATGGTCAAAATACGGTGTTATCAGTCATCTCTAAGATCATGGCTAATAGATTAAAAGGGATCTTACCGGATCTTATAGCTTTGAATCAATTTGCTTTTGTTAAAGATCGTCTACTAATTGAGAACCTTCTCTTAGCAACTGAATTAGTTAAGGATTACCACAAGGATTCTATCTCCACTTGCTGCGCAATCAAGATTGACATTTCTAAAGCATTTGATTCGTTTCAATGGCCTTTCCTTCTATATACGCTAAAGGCAATGCAATTTTTGGAGATGTTCATTCACTGGATTTCTCTTTGTATCACTACGGCATCCTTCTCGGTGCAGGTTAGTGGAGAACTGGTGGGGTTTTTTAGAAGCAGGAAAGGCTTGCGTCAAGGCTTCTCTTTGTCTCCGTATCTGTTCGTTCTTTGTATGAACGTCTTATCCAAGCTTTTGGACAGGGCGGCTGGTGCAAACAGGTTTGGTTATCACCCAAAGTGCAAAAACATTGGTTTAACGCACTTGAGTTTTGCAGACGATATAATGGTCCTCTCTGATGGTAAATTGCGATCTGTGGAGGGTATCGTAGAAGTTTTCGACAAATTTGCTAAGATCTCGGGTCTCGCTATCAGTATAGAAAAGTCAACGATTTTTCTAGCGGGTGTCAATCCGCAAGTACGAGAGGAGCTATCTAACCGATTTCATTTTGATACTGGTCAGCTTCCAGTTCGATATCTGGGACATCTCCTAGTCACTAAACGATTGTTTTCCTTTGTTGGAAAAGATCTGAACCCGTATGGAAGCATGGACAGCTCGATCACTCTTGCTGGCAGGTCGTCTGCAGCTGATTAGCTCAGTCATCCACAGTATCACAAAATTCTAGTTAGGAGCGTTACGACTCCCTAAAGCTTGCTTACACAAAATTGATAAACTTTTCTCTGCATTCCTCTGGTCTGGTCCTGTGTTAAATCCTTGGAAAGCAAAAGTTGTTTGAGAAGATGTCTGTAAGCCTAAGGAAGAAGGAGGACTTGGCTTACGACCTCTTTCTGAAGTAAACACGGTTAGCTGCCTTAAGCTGTATGGTGCATTGTATCTTCTCACCCCTCTCTATGGGTTAAGTGGATACAAACATACCTGATTCGTCGTAGTACTCTATGGTCGATAGAAGATAAACAAAGTCAGGATCATGGATGTGGAAGAAAATCCTCAAATTCAGAAGTTTGGCACAACAATTCCATCACGTTGATATTAAAGATGGCCAAAACTCAAGATTCTGGTATGATGTTTGGTCCGATATGGGGAGGCTTATTGACTTAACGGGATCGCGAGGTACTATTGATCTGGGTGTCCCAATTAATGCCACAGTCACCTCAGCATTCCAGAGACGGAGTCGTCGGCGTTGGAATGGTATTCTAACAGATACTGTTCAAGTTATAGAAGCTAAACAAGCTCAGCTTCAGCCATCGACGTCGGATATCCCTTTTTGGAAAGACAAAGCAGGAAAGTTTAAAACCGGTTTCTCATCCAAAAATACATGGCTGCTCCTTCGTCATTCATCTCCTCGTCAAGAATGGCACAAAGGTGTTTGGTTCAAGCACTGTACCCCAAAGTACTATGTATGCACATGGTTAGCTTCGCTCAACCGTCTCTCAACAGGGAACCGAATGATGCAATGGAATCCAGGGATCAATCCCTCTTGCAGTCTCTGCAACTCGTCGCTGGAGACTCGTGACCACTTGTTTTTTGAGTGTAACTACACAAGGGAAGTCTCGTCTAAACTGGCTACTACTCTCTTCCAGAGTCGTTTCTAAACGAACTGGAACACCCTCATTGGAATCGCCTTGGAATCAGCTATGGAAAGGATTCATCTCTTCCTGTTCCGCTATGCTCTTCAATGCTCAATCCACAGCAACGCCACAGTGACTCATCAGCTCCAGCAACAACTTTGATCATTCGACAAGCAAATCTGATGCCATATCCAATCGATTCAGGATCTAGAAGATAGAAGATTAAAAGAAGCTCTTCAAATCTGGTTCAGCACAAGAAGCTGAATAATTGTTGTTGATTTATAGCTTTCAATTCTCTACCTTTCCATTTGACTATAAATGCAACTTGGTTGTAAAAACATCTTTTATTTGGGTTTTGAATATAATTTTACGTTCGATTCAATAAAAAAAGAAGCTTAGAAATCGCCAAAGAGAGCTCAGAAGAAGACAATGATGAAAGAAAATTTGTCATTCACTATATTAATAATATGTACAATTAATTTTTAAGCTTACAAGACAAGTGTGTGACAACATAATAAACCAGTTTCTATAACCAAACGCTAACTGGTTCAACCAAGGAATCTGATAAAGAAGAGTGACGATGATGTTCCAGTCATTGGTATAATCTGTTCTTAAGAGTTGTTGTGTGAGACTAGCCAAATCTCAGTTGAGTAGCTGCAGGTGAAAACATATGACCATGAGATTCTTCAGGATGTCCACAAAGAATACAATCACATCTTTTCCCGAGTTCTAATTCTTCATTAGATCTCCTATAAATTTGGCATTGTTAACCATGTGAAGAACGAGAATTTCAGTATTGTGTTGGGGAACCAAACACCTTTATACCATTTTTAGTGGGGTGAACAGTAAAAAATTGATTCTAAATTTCTTTCATCTCATTTATCCTAACAAAATTGTCCATTATCTGACCCACACAAAGACACAGAGACAAAATAAACAGTTTGGAGTCCTTTGGATGGACCATTTCATAATAATATCAAGATTTTGGTTTTTTATTTTTTATATTCTCTTTTTTTTTCCCTTAAAGAAACACCAGAGAGAAGAAGCTTTACAGATTCGAGGATCCAAGTCGAAATTCTTGCAACGTTACCTCTTAATTGATCAATCTCCGTTCTCTGTTTCATGCATTTGATTCCTTTTCTGGGTCTGTAATTGGAGCTAAACGCAGACAAGACAACGAAAGGCTCGGAGGCTTCGTCTTCTTTGATTACCGATGAGAGAACTGTTGAGGCCCAGAAGAAGCAGCGAACAACGGCTTGGACGGTTTCTCCGAATCACAGAATCACGTTTAACGAGACGTGGAAATTAGTCGACGATTTGGAGATTTTTGTGAAGAGATTGAAATTGAAACAAGAGAAAGATGGGAAATTGAAATCAGATAGTAACAACAATAATTGTAACAATGTTGATGTGTTTTACGACGCCAGGTGGTCGAGAGAGTTAGGTCCATCGGCGGAAATCTCCCAGAATAGAATCTACTGGGAAGAATCTTGTCTTGATTACACTATGTTTGTCAAGGAGTTGGGAGTTTTGAGAAGCAAAGCAGATGGAACTTGATCGAGAGAAGAACCTTTCAATGGATATTAACCATTGGTAAGGTTTTATATGAGCACCAATTGTTCAGAGAGGCTCTCGTTAGCTTCAAGAGAGCTTGCGAGTTGCAGCCAACTGATGTGAGACCTCATTTCAAAGCTGGAAACTGTCTTCAAGTTTTGGGGAAATGCAAAGAATCAAAAGATGAGTTTTTGCTGGCCTTGGAAACCCCTGAGTCCGGCGGGAATCAATGGGCTTATTTGCCGGTGAAGGTATGGTTTTGAGTGTTTGTGAGTATTATAGAGAAGCTGCGATTCTATGTCCTACGCATTATAGAGCCTTGAAGTTTTTAGGTAGTGCTCTGTTTGGTGTAGGAGAGTATAGAGCAGCGGTTCAGGCCTTAGTGGAAGCTATATACTTGAAACCGGATTACGCGGATGCTCATTGTGATTTAGCTTCTTCTTTGCATTCGATGGGTGAAGACGAGAGAGCTATCGAGGTTTTCCAGAGAGCGTTAAACTTGAAACGTGGCCATGTTGATGCTTTGTATCATCTTGGTGGGCTGTACATGGATTTAGGTAGGTTTCAGCGAGCGTCGGAGATGTACACTAGGGTTTTAGTGTTATGGCCTAACCATTAGCGTACTCAGCTCAACAAAGCGGTTTCTTTGTTAGGTGCTGGGAAAACAGAAGAAGCTAAGCGTGCGGTTAAGGAAGCGTTGAAACTGACAAACCGGGTTGAGTTGCACGATGCGATATCTCATCTGAAACAATGGAAATGGAAATGGTAATGGAGTAAAGACGACTTTGAAAACAGATTTAGCCACAGCTCTTCAAATTAGGACCTTTCGGAGAGTTACAAGGCTCGGTAAATACGACGTTGAGGCTGTGAGAAAGGAGATGAGAGTCAACGATGTTCCTGTATCATATTCTGGGAGCGGCATGCCGACAAAATCAATTCGGAAACCCAATTTGGAGGAGATTCTCCGGCGTCTGCTTACCTCTGTGAAATCCAAAACTTTTCAAGTAATCAAGGCGATTAACGAGAAGATCCTCTCAGTACTCGATGACTCGGGGTCTGGAAGAGTCTATATGGGCCATTATGCAGTGCACATTCAGACAAACGCAAAAGAGTTGCTTTCGATGCGCTTCTATGGAGACCTATAAACGAAGGAAGCTCTCAGATTACAAAAATGGATGCAGACAAATACATCAAACTGCTGAGAGCTATTTATGTTCCATCACACGGAATAAGTGAAATGTTAGAAGTTCACGGGGAAGAAGAAGATGATTCCTCGATGACGGTAACATTTAATCAGTTTTTAGCCATGTTTGACGATCCTGATTGGGGATTTGGTATTATGTCTACGGTTCTTAAACTCGAGACATAATACCAGAAAAAAAACTTGAGACAAATGATAGGAACCGACATGGAAACCATGTCTGCTCAGTTTGTCGATATCCTATCATTGGATCCCGGTTTAAGGAAGCGAAAGCCCGGTTTAGTTTGTATAGCCAGTGCTACAGTGCAGGGAATGTTCCTCCTTCGTTTAAACAGGATGAACACAAGTTCCGAGAATATGGGAGTGAAGCTGAGCCATGAAAGCTAAGTGTGTTTGTTTCTCGATGCAGTCTCATAAAAAACCTATTGCCGCTTGAAAGAAACAAAGTGACTAACTCAGCAAGTTTTTCCTAGAATCTTTGCTTCAAATCTGCAAATTGTAACCTTTTCTTATAAATTGTGTGCATAGTTTCAGTGATATGTATGTTGTTGAGACTTGAGAATGCGCAGTTTTATAGCTCCGGTTTAGGTTGCTTGCATCCTCGTCAAAATACTTTATTTGTATGATTGTATCCCCAAGAGGTTACAACATATCTCTGATGAAATCAAGGGTAAGTGTCCCCTTAACGATGAGAAATGAACCGCGAAATATCGTAATCCCTTGCTCAACCTCTAATGGTAGCTTCCTCCCGCCTCGAACCGCTTTCAACAAGATCAAAGCCAGAGTTCTGCCATCAAAAGCCCATCTGCAAAGTTTAGATTCAGCAATGCGGCAAATTGGAAAAGCCCATCCGCGTTTGATCTCGCCACTTCCACCCCTACCGTAATGATCGCGATTGGACCAGCGACCTTACTAGCGGTTTACGACAATGGTAACTCTGGAAATGGAATCAGAACCGGATTCGGTTAGTTCAGTGCCGTCAAAAGCTAAGATTACATCTCCTGAAAGAACCCCAACACGAGGTGATACAGCGAAACCTCAACTGATACCAACGAAACCAAATAGGAATCCAATGTTCATCAAACAAAGAATTTCAAAGTTCAACTTGTAAGAATTTGAATAAGAGAAAGATCCTTCACAGAGGTCAAACCAAAACAAATTAGGGCATGTTCGTTTGCTCATCCAGATAAAGCAGTCAAATGTTCGTTTAATTGCATTAATCGATTCATCTTATTGGATCATCTAAATTAGAGTATTTGAATGACTTATAAATTTATGAAGAAATTTTAAATTCATCCAACTGATTATATTTGAAGTATTTGGATGAACATGATTCAGTCCAAAAGTTTAAGGCTTTGTTCGTTCGCTCATTTGTCATTTGTATCTAGATGATCCATTTAAATGATTCATTTGGATAAATCATCTAGATAAGTCATCTGAATAAAACATTTTTATATTTTAAATGAGCAATAACAAATGAGCAATGACAAATGAGCAATGAACCTTTGTTTGTTTGGCCATTTTAATCTAAAGATATATATCTTTATCTTCATGTTTTAATAACAAAATTATTAAAATATATATTTAATCTAATTATAAGTTTCTAAATCTAATCGAATATTAAATATATATTAAATTTACATTTTTACATTTTTGGTAAAAAAAAATTTTTGTTTTGTATAAAAAACATAATATTTATTTATGACAGAAAACAGAATTTTACGTTTTTGTGAGAAAACAAAATTTTTCGTTTTTGACGAAAAACGAGATTTTACGTTTTTGACGAAAAACAAAATTTTACGTTTTTGGCGGAAAAAACAAAATTTTACATTTTTGACAAAAAAACAAGATTTTATGTTTTAACGGAAAAACAAGATTTTACGTTTTTAACAGAAAAACAAAATTTTACATTTTTAATGGGAAAACGAGATTTTACATTTTTTATGGGGGAAATGAGATTTAATTTTTTTTACAGAAAAACAAAATTTTACGTTTTTGACAAAAAAATAAAATTTTACAAAAAAACGAAATTTTTTATTTAAAGAGAAAAAATGAAATTTATGTTATTACAAGAAAAAATAATTTTAAGTTTTTGACGGAAATTTAGCAGAAAAATATAATTTTAAGTTTTTGGCAGAAATCCGACGGATAAATGAAATTTAAAGATTTTACGAAAAAATGAGATTTTATATTTTATTATGAAAAATATAAATTTCTATTTTTGGCGATAGAGAAGATAACAAACTTCAACAATATGCCATGAATAATTTCTCTAAAAATGTAAACGATGTGTTTTATTCACAAATCCCCTGAGCTGACTTGCATATCCAGCCCTCCACTTGTCGATAATCCTGACGTTTATTAATCTATATATCACGAGAACACGCACACACCCAAATAAAAAGAAATTATAAAAAGCGGGAATTTCTTAGAATATATTGTCCCACATCGACAACTTCTGTGAAAGAGGAATCTGAGATCTCATTATAAAATGAGTTAAAATCACATGTGCTTTCCAACAGTAACGTCCACTAGGTCTCTGTCAATTTTATTTGACAAGATCCTACGAGTTAATTTTAAACGGTTCAATCAACTGTCAGTCGGTTTAATCATTAAGTTGGTCGATTGGTTCACAATTAATCGACCAGTTAGACACAAGTGGGTCTCAATAGTAAAATCCCAATTGGTATATGTCAAATTTATTTGATCAGATCACACTAGTAAAACTTTAAACGGTTCAACCGATAATTAGTCGGTTTAATCCTGAAGTTGGGCGATTGGTTCAATTATTAGGCCAGTTAGACGCCTGATCATCCCTACGAAGTTGGGTCGGGTTAATTGGGACAAATCGTGTTGCGATTGAAGCAGAGTTTTGGTTTTCGAGGATCCTCTCCTGTTTTTGGTACTCAACCTGAGTTTTGAAGTTTCTCGTCTTGCGTTTGAGTGTGTTTCTCTAACTCAATTGTTCAGATTCCATTGTCTCACTTAGTCAAGGTTTTCACACATCTTCATTCTCTCTCTCTCTGTTACAGTCATTTTTTTGTTTCTTTCTCTTTCAGATTATCATACTCTTTCTCTTTTATGTTTACTTTTTTTTTTTTTCAGATCTCTTTTTCATGTTTCCGATGGATTGGACGATTGGAAAAAGAATCAAAACAAGGAACAAAGAGCGTCTTCATGTGGTGAAGAAGCGGAAGAAGACTGAGGACGAAACCACTTCTCGCCGAAGGCGGAGAAGACCAATTGACGCTGACTCCGACATCGAGGATATCACAGAAGCTTACCATGCTGCTGCTCAAGTAAATTCCTCTGGTGTAAGAACTGGTTCTGAACAGAACACTGAGACTTTGTTTAGAGATTTAGATCAATCAGTTCCGGGATCATGTGGTTTAACCATCAAAGAAAAGTCCTCTGATGAGATTTTGGGTTTGGATGTGAGCAAATCAGTTCCGACTCTCTCTTTAGAAACTATCAAGGAGAAGTTATCTGATGGGACTTTTGAGTTAGATTTGGGCAAACCAATTCCGGTGTCCTCTGGGTTAGGTATGAAAGAGAATTCATCTGATGAGAATGTAGATTTTGATGTGGGCAATTCAGTTCCGACATCCTCTGCGCAAACTATCAAAGAGAAGTTGTCTGATGGAATCTTGGATTTGATTGTGGAAAAACCAGTTTCCGTCTCCTCTGGGTTAGCTATGAAAGAGAAGTCATCTGATGAGAATGTAGATTTTGATGTGGGCAATTCAGTTCCGACATTCTCTGCGCAAACTATCAAGGAGAAGTTGTCTGATGAAACCTTGGATTTGATTGTGGAAAAACCAGTTCCGGTCTCCTCTGGGTTAGCTATAAAAGAGAAGTCATCTGATGAGAATGTAGATTTCGATGTAGGCAATTCAGTTCCGACATCCTCTACGCAAACTATCAAGAAGAATATGTCTGATAGGACTTTTGAGTTGGATTGGGGCAAACTAGTTCCAGTCTCCTCTGGGTTAGCTATGCAAGAGAAGTCATCTGATGAAAATGTAGATTTGGATGTAGGCAATTCAGTTTTGCCATCCTCTGTGCAAACTATCAAGGAGAATTTGTCTGATGGGATTGTGGATTTGGTTGTGGACAAACCAGTTCTTAGCTCCTCTAGTTTAAGTATCAAGGAGAAGTTATCTGATGGGATTTTGGATTTGGATGTTGACAAACCAGTTCCGATCTCTTCTAGGTTTAGCCATGGTTCAGAACAGAACACATGTGTGAAGGAGAAGTGTTCTTCAAGTTTGGAAATGAAAAAACCATTTCCTAATGAAATAGAGATCATTTCAGATTCTGAGTCTGAAACCAAAGCGAGGAAGCTTTTTGAGGAAGGAAGCAGAGTCTTAGACTCCACCAGTGAAGACAAAGATGGCGAAAGTGAGAGCGAGGAAGAGGAAGAAAGAAGTGAAGATAGTGAATACAATAACACCAAAGATGAGATAATGGTGGAATCTTTGTCTTCATCGTCATCATCATCTTCATCTTTCTCCTCTAGTGATGATGAATCCAACATAAAGGAGGTAGTTGGAGACACAGATGATGATAATTTGAGAAGGGGTTGTACACCAGTCAAGAAAGTGTCTAAAGTTGGAAGGAAGCCTTTGGGAAGGTATAAAAAGACTGGTTCTTGCTCAACCAAGCCTAGAAAACATAACACTAATATTCAGAAACCAAACCACCGAGACGAAGAAGAGAAATTTCAAACCAATCTTAGAAAAGAGGAAAAGAAGATTCAGAAGTTAGACCTTCGAGAAAAAAAAGAACGACAAGAAAGAGTAACAAAGCAGTGTAACAATCCAATGTTCATTTGTACTCACTGTGGCAAAGAGAACACAGAAATTCTTGATTCACACAGCTCTTTCACCAGACGACATGCTACAACAAAAGCTGAAGACGATGATTTATCAAAGTATGAAGATTCTGTTGCTATCAACTTTGCGAATACACTTGAGAGGCCATCCGCATCCATACCAGATATTGTGAATTCAGAGAAAGCAAAAGAGGTCGGAGCACCTGAAAAGCCATCAAGACCTGAAATACAGAGTTTACTGACACAAAAAGATTTACAAACCAACAACATCGTGGGGTCGAGTATGCCAACAGTTGCAGAAGGATTAAATACGTTTACTTTTCCTAATGAACCAATTGATAATGAGTCTGCTTCTTATATCAGCTCTGGAGATGAATCTGGATATGAATCTGAGCCTTCACTAAAAGACAAAGAGGTCAAGTCTAATAACAACTCGGGGTGGAGAATGATGGATGGAAGCCATAAAGAAGTTGATCTTTTCAGGCTTCTTGTAAACTCTGTTTGGGATAAAGATCGATTAGGTGAAGAAGAGGAAGAAGGAGAAGACAAACTGGTTTCTTCACCTGAAGACCAATCTGAAGAACAAGATCAAAGAAAATATGATAAAGATGGACTTCTGATCATTAGGCCACCACCATTGATAATGAGATTTGGTGTAGAGGAACCTCAATCACCATCTGAGATTTCTGAGTCGGATAAAGAGGAAGCTAGGTTGTGGGAAGATATGGCGTTTTACAGCAAAACAAACAACATTGGCATCCAGCCTCATTCAGAGGTGATTTTTTTATTTTCTTTCAAAACAAGTTTTGTCATCTCTTGTTGTTTAGAGAATGGTAAATCTAACTTGAAATCTTTGCAGATTGAGAAAGAAATATCAACTGATGAAACACCAGCAGCATGTTGTAAAAAAGGAAATCACGAATTGTGTCTAGATCTTGAGATCGGTTTAAAGTGTATGCATTGTGGCTTTGTGGAGAGAGAGATCCGAAGCATTGATGCATCTGAATGGGTAAGGATTTCAATTTTTTCTAAAATGATTAAAATTTTAGCTAAAATATTTGATGGTAACTATAGTGTATCTTTTCTCTTGTAGGGAGAAAAGAACACAAGTGGAAGGAGAAAGGTTGATAGATCTGAAGAGGATGGAACTAGCAGCTTCATTGGGACACTTGACTTTGAAGCTCCTAGCAAGAACAACTCAAATGATGGATGTGTTTCTACTGAAGGAACTGTTTGGGATAAGATTCCAGGGATCAAATCTCAAATGTATCCTCACCAGCAAGAGGGTTTTGAGTTTATCTGGAGGAACTTAGCTGGTACTATTGTGTTGAACGAGCTCAAAAAATTTGAGAACAGCGATGAAACCGGAGGATGCATCATGTCACATGCTCCCGGGACAGGGAAAACTCGTCTGACCATTATTTTCCTTCAAGCTTACTTGGAATGCTTCCCTAATTGCAAACCAGTGATCATTGCTCCTGCAAGCTTGCTTCTCACATGGGCAGAGGAGTTTAAGAAATGGAACATAAGCATTCCCTTTCATAATCTTAGCAGTTTGGATTTCACTGGCAAAGAGAACCCGGCGGCGTTGAGACTTATGATGCAAAAGAATTCGAGTGCGAGAAGCAATAATGAGATAAGGATGGTGAAGATATACTCTTGGATAAAATCGAAGAGCATACTTGGGATTAGCTACAACCTCTATGAGAAACTTGCAGGAGTTAAAGACGAGGACAAAAAGACTAAGACAATGAGACTAGACAAAGAATTAGAGGATATCAGAGAAATACTTATGGGGATGCCTGGAATGCTGGTTCTTGACGAGGCACACACGCCTCGGAACCAGAGAAGTTGTATATGGAAAACACTATCCAAAGTGGAAACACAGAAACGTATTTTGCTTTCTGGAACACCTTTCCAGAATAACTTCCAAGAGTTGTGCAATGTTTTGGGACTTGCAAGGCCTAAGTATCTGGAGAGGCTCACATCCACACTCAAGAAGAGTGGGATGACTGTAACGAAAAGAGGAAAAAGAGCTTTGGGAAACGAAATCAACAACCGAGGGATCGAAGAACTTAAGACTGTTATGCTTCCATTTGTGCATGTTCATAAAGGAAGCATTCTTCAGAAAAGCCTCCCTGGTTTGAGAGAATGTGTTGTGGTGTTAAACCCACCTGAGCTGCAGAAAAGAGTCTTAGAATCCATAGAAGTCACCCATAACCAGAAAACAAAAAATGTGTTTGAAACCGAACACAAGCTATCTCTAGTCTCAGTCCATCCTTCTCTTGTCTCTTGCTGCAAACTGACTGGGAAAGAACGTTTGACCATTGACGAGGCTTTGCTTGCACAACTAAAGAAGGTAAGATTTGATCCAAACCAAAGTGTGAAAACAAGATTCCTCATGGAGTTCATCAAGTTGTGCGAAGTGATAAATGAGAAAGTGCTGGTCTTCAGCCAATACATTGACCCTTTAAAGCTGATAATGAAACATCTGGTCTCTCGGTTCAAATGGATTGAAGGGGAGGAAGTGTTGTACATGCACGGAAAACTCGAGCAAAAACAAAGACAAACATTGATCAACGAATTCAATGATCCCAAATCCAAGGCCAAAGTGTTGTTAGCTTCAACAAAAGCATGTTCTGAAGGGATCAATCTGGTAGGAGCATCAAGGGTGATTCTTCTGGATGTTGTATGGAATCCGGCAGTCGAAAGACAAGCTATAAGCCGTGCTTACAGGATCGGGCAGAAGCGGATTGTTTATACGTATCACTTGGTTGCAAAAGGAACTCCTGAAGGACCAAAGTACTGTAAGCAAGCACAAAAGGATAGAATCTCAGAGCTGGTTTTTGCATGTTCTTCGAGACATGACAAGGGCAAAGAAAAGATTGTTGAAGCTGTGACAGAGGACAAAGTGTTGGACACTATGGTGCAGAATCTGAAGCTTGGGGATATGTTTGACAACCTTATTGTCCAACCAAAGGAAGCAGATTTAGTTGACGGTTTCAGCATACTTATGCCTTGATGAGGCATCCCCAAACACTTTGGCTTCATCTCTTCCTATCATATCATATGCTATTTCATCTTTAAGACTTATTATTTTGCTTTTGTGGAATGCTTTTTGTGTATCTTTATCCTCAAAAAAAAAACTTTGCTTTTATTTCAATTTTACATTGTCTGCTATGAACTTTGACTTTTGTAGCAAAATGTTGTGTTGCAAAGTGTTTATTAGAAGCGATGGAATCAACTATGAAGGTAAAAAGATGGACCTCTGAGTATAAACCAAAGTTGAATCATGTAACATTTGAATATTAGCTATCTATGTCAGAGATAAGAGATTCTTGACACAGTACTGCTGTCTGACATATAAATGATAACCCAAAATTTTCAGACTAAGCACGTTTTTATTCATTTTGTCTTTAGTCTTTGCTTCAAGTTTCTAAGCTGCTTCAACTTAGAGATTATGCAAAGGATTGCCTAAAACGTAAAAAAAATAATAAAAAAAAACTTTGCTCAATAAGTAAAAATGATATATTCTATAAGAACCTCGTTCAAATTGCAAAAGAAACAAAAATTGAATCTTACCTTGTGGAAAAAAAACAGATTTTGAGCTTGCAGACAGTACGACCAAATCTTTGGTAAAGAGAAGTAATATTGAAACAAAATTAGAAAGCAAAACATGAGAGAATGCATGACTAATTTTTACTGCAAACTAAATCTTTTGGGCTTCACTGTTTCCAATCCTTCCTTCAATCTGAGAAAACCAATGACGAAGACAATATTAACTAGTAACACTAAAACAACATCCCAATATAACAATTCATTTATTTTGTCAAATCCA